CCGGGATCGAGTCCCGCATCGGGCTCCCTGCTCGGCAGGGAGCCTGCTTCTCCCTCTGACCCTCCCCCCTCTCATGTGCTCTCTGTCTCTCTCATTCTCTCTGTCTCAAATAAATAAATAAAATCTTTGGGAAAAAAAAAATTGGAAAACACTAGTTCTTAGTAATTATTTACTTTCCTTATGTTACTTTGTGGAATATAACTTTATTTCTAAATTTTTCTAAGTGACTCAGTTTTGCAGAGGTAGGAAAACCATTTATTAAATGAAAAAGGGAAAAAAGTAGCTAATTTGCAAATATGTTGAAGAAAGTAAAAAGGGATATAAAGAATTGGCCTTCCCCTGTATTTGTTGAGTGATATTGTCAACTTACTACAGGCTTTCAGGCTTTGGGTTCACTGCGTTTGTTCCCTTCAGGTGCTGTCATGGAAGAAGAGGCAGCAAAACTTCTTGGCGTGAAGATGTGCAAGTTTATTCCAAAACACACCCGGACCCTGGGAAATGAGTTTCGCTGTTATGTGAATTATGATTCTGGGCTAGACCATGAAATCTAAATGCAGATAGTAATATAATATGTAAAGGATCCTGTGTGACATTTCTCTCATTATTTCCTTGGTAGATTGAAAAATTATAACCTCCACCCCTCCCCTGCAAAGTGGGGCTCTCCCTGGCCTAATTTTCAAAATAAAGAATATAACATCTCATTATGACTTCCTGACTGCCAGCATCTCTAGAACTCGGGATGCTTTTGCCAACTTGAATCCATGGAATTATAGTGGGAAGAAATCTTAGAACCTATCTAAAATCTGCTCTCCTGACCTAAGAACAGGTAAAAAACCGAAGTACAAACAGCTTAGTGGCTTGGCCAAGACCTGAATTAGGACCTAAGCCTCTGCCTCAGGCCATCTGCCCCCTTAACAGGGGCCCGTTCCGACTCTACCCAGTGGACCGCTGATTGTTCACGGCAGCTTTCCTGGAGTGTCGTAGGACTTGTGAAGGGGCCTGTCATCTGCTCCAGCCCCTCAAGGAGACACGACTTGCCTCCATGAAAGAAGTTGAGAATCCTTGGAACTAGGATCTGAAAGCCTCCTCCTCGCCCCGGTTCTTGGAGGGATGACAGGCACGTAGCCCAGGTGCTCTCTGTGTGCACACCGCCCCTGCACCCTCGGCTAAAGCCACAGCAATGCGCCAGGCCCCGGAGAAACTGAAACTGCTGTGTGCAAACCAAACACTATAGCAGAAAGGACGTGAGAAGCATGCTAGACTGTTCTATTTCAAAAATTATCCATCATTCATCCACACCACCGCACATTACTGATACCTGCAACTTGGATGGCTTTCAAGGGCCTTGTGCTGAGTGAAAAAAGCGGGTCCGCAAAGCTTACATACTGTGTTTCTATTGATGTAACATTCTTGAATGGAGAGCAGATTGGTGGTTGGCAGAGGTTAAGGGGTGGGGGAGCGGGGGGTGGGACGAGCAAAGGGAGATCTTAGGGGAAGTGGAGCTCTTATGCATCTTGATTGTGCAGTGGTTACACACAACTCCACGGGGGGCATTACACAGGACCCGCACACGCTCGCAACACTGGTGAACTCCAGGTGAGGGCTGTGGGTGGTGTGCAACGTCCAGTTCCTGGGGCTGGTTCTGTGCTTGGTCAAGGTGTTCTCATTGCGGGCAACTGGGTAAAAGACACACAAGACCTCTCTAGTGTTTTTGCAATTTCCTGTGAATCTAGAATCATTTCAAAATAAAAACTTTAAAAAAATGGGGGGTGAAGAATAACACTTCCCCACCTCAGGTGACTTGCTTTGCTAACAAAACATGAAAGGAGGGGCGCCTGGGTGGCTCAGTTGGTTAAGCGACTGCCTTCGGCTCAGGTCATGATCCTGGAGTCCCAGGATCGAGTCCCGCATCGGGCTCCCTGCTCGGCGGGGCGTCTGCTTCTCCCTCTGATCCTCTTCCCCTCTCGTGCTGTCTCTCATTCTCTCTCTCAAATAAATAAATGAATAAATAAAATCTTTAAAAAAAAAAAACACGAAAGGAAGTGCCAAGTAGAGCTTTATTTTCTCTCTGACATGGCTACCGGCAGTTTTCCACACACAAGCAGGTGCTCGAGCGGAGCGGTGGGCCTGCAGTGGATGTGGAGGGTGAGCAGGAAATACACATCTGCTTTTGAAAATCAGAGACTGGGGATGGATAATGCAGCGAAAAACCAGACCGTCCTGGCGCCAGAGGTCAGGAAATGGGGCTTGGTGGGGGGGCGGGGCTTGCTCCCGCCTGTTCTTTCTTAGCCTTCGACGGTCCTACTTTGGGATAATTTTTAATTTACTTTAAAAATCACTTGGTATTTTTATGAGACATTTATATTTTTATCAGTGTATCAGCACCTGGCACATGTGAAGTATTCAATAAATGTTCTTTAAAAAATACCCCCTACCTTATTTCCTCATGAGTCAGTTCACTAAAAATTACCTAGGCCAGTAACATATTGTAGTGACAAATAATGTATGGAAATGTCATGTGTGACTTAGGAATTGGGGGCAAGTAGCAGCCTAGAAATACAGAATTGTAGTTATCCTAGAGGTCTAGCGTTTCGACAAGGAGGAGAAATCTTATTTCTTCCTGGAGGGTTGGGCGGGAAGGCCAGAGCTGGACTCATTAGATGTTTAATTACATTATTGTATAGTAAGCAGCCAACATGTGCTTTATTGCTTTGGACCCCCTGTGATTTGAGCAAACCTGTGTCCACATGTGATCCACTTCTGGATCTCATAAGCGGTCTGCCGCTCTGCCTCTGCAGCCCCCAGAACAGGAGCCCGGGCTGCACAGCGGGGGGGGGGGGACGGACGGACACACGAGGACACGTGGGGGCGCGCTTCACAGAAGCTTCCTGACTTCTTAGGAGGCAGCCTCACCTCTTCCACCCGACCAGAGCGCTTTAGAACCTCAAAAGAATATTGTAAGAGACACCTTTTTAAAGTCCTTGCTAATTTAAGAGATTCGCACTGAGACAAAATAACCATAGCGTGAGTGGAAGGAGAAAGGTTGGTAAGTTCCGTGTTGCTGATAATTCAGAAATCCATACAGCGACCTCGCGGGGTTGTTTGGGGGTGATGGGGAACCCCGACAGCTGGAACAAATGAAATGCCAGAGGCACTTGGAAACCCCATTTCCCATGGGAACGTCACGCTCTTCCCTTCCATTCCTCTCTCAAATCAGAGCAGGTTCAGCAATGACCCTTTTCTCCCTTTGCCTTGATAAAAGACCTGCGGCAAACCGAGAAGTTTGGGTAACTGGACCCTGAATGTGGAACTGTTGGCATTTGTGATGGGTTTTGGTTGATATTCCCAAATGATTCTGTTTTTATCAAGCAAGCATACAGTAGATATACTGTCCGTTGGCTGGAAAAAATCTTCAGTAACCAGCAAGGTACGTCCATCCCAAGGGCTGCCTGAAAGCCCTCCAGATAGAATTACTTGAAGGAAACGTCGGCCCCGTGGCGCTTCTTGGAGAGGAGGGAAGAAGCCGTGAAATTCCCACTAGCAAAGTGTGCTGCTCCGTGAAGCCTGGGACTGAAGTGGCTGGCCCGCGCGGCGCCGCTGCGTTCACTGTGGGCACCGGTGAGCGGGGTGCCTAGGCCCGCGCGGGAGGGGCCGCTCCTCCACTCCGGCTGTCAGGACTGCTGTGGCCGGCAGCTTCCCCCAGACCTTTGCTAAAACACAGTAACAAGCTCTCTCTGCTCCACAACACCCCGTTCGTGTAACAAGGGAACAAAATTCTGCCCAATAAACTCTTCTTATTCCCTGAAACAGTATCTCCCCAGACTATCACCACCCTCTCCCTCCAACATATTTTTTTTCAAGTTTTAATTTTAATTGCCATTAGTTAACATTCACTCCAACATATTCTATCTGGTTGCTGCTGCCTAGGGATAGATATTTTATTTTTTATTTATTTTTTTAAAGATTTTTTATTTATTTATTTGACAGAGAAAGAGAGAGTTCACAAGCAGGGGGAGAGGCAGAGGAAGAGG